CTGACGTTGATCTTCTTCCTTCTCCTCTTGCCTAACTTCTTGTTCTTCGCCGCCTTCTTCACTGAGAGGAGTGGAGTTAAGATCAATTTTGATTCTTTTATTACCCACGTCATCGTCATCATTGTCATCATAACCACCATCATCATAATAGTCCTGATCATTGCCGTCGAAGTCATCACGATCATCACAACGTCCTACTTGTTGGTCCCAATCTTCTCGCCAAACTTCTCCCTCTAAGTTATATCCTTCGCCTTCTTCACTGGGAGCAGGAGTGGAGTTAAGGTCAAGTTTGATTTCTTCAACTTCTTCTCCTTCACCATCACAACAATCCCTTTGCTTTACGTTGTTGGACCAAGTACTCTCCAAGAGCATCCTATCGTCATCTTCTTCTTTAGTAGATGCAGGCATGTTAAGATCCAAGTTAATCCTTTCATCTATTTTCTCCGTTTTGTCGGAAGAAGTACTCGAACTTGACCTAGTACTTTTTACTTCTTCTTCCTTATCGTCATCGCCGCTCGAGATGTTTCTTCTGGCTTGCTTGCTTGGACGATTGTCGCTGCTGGACGCATCGTAATCGCTGATCTCGATCCTTCGCTTTTCAGAATTAGGGTTAGCCAAACTACCAAAGCTCTCCAAATTTTCCTTGATCTCCATAAACTTTATCTTTCACAAACTGACTGTGAATTAGGGTTTGAAATTCTCTTAAGCTTTGCACCCTTTCATCTTCTTCTTTCAAGTCGCACACTTCTTGTAGGGTTTACGTATGCTGTAAAGGATTTTAAAAGTACTTAGATACGAATCCTGACCCGTTTCGGTTTGAAGATCAAATCCTTACAGAAAAGGGGATCCATCAAATTCGGAAAGTAGGGCCATGGGTCAATACGGCCCGGTCGTAACCCCGAGCTTTTATTTGGGCCTGGGCTGGACTAACCCTCACATCTTCACAACGGACCGTGTCGAAAAGTTTTAAGAACGAGTAGGGCTAGAGCGCTACTACTCAATCCAGGCCGGACTAACCCGGTCTACATCAAACAAACTCACTTTTCAGTTCACCAAGTGTTTGATATAATGCATGTTAAGTATATCTCTGCAGTATTTGACAAATTGCATGGAGAGCAATCGAAAAATTCTTTCGTTTAGTACTCATCAAATTGCTTCGGCATATGCCGATTTGTTGACATATGCACAACTTAGTTCGCCTTACAACAAGCTCACCAAGTATTAAAAAAAATGTCTCAGTACATAAACTGAATTTTTTTTTACACGTTTCGTGCTCTATTTCTACTAAAAAAACCTTTAACACTTATTCCCCCAATTTGCATCCTGAATCTGCTGCCACTGAGTACATCTACATAATATTTTATTATTAGATTTAAATCTACAAAATAAAAATTGATGTTTGGGAGAGACTAGTTAGCCCTATTCCGGCCTTTCCTTCTTGTCTCCCTTGTGAGTTGTGACTAGAGCTTCCCCGATTCATAGTTTTTCCAGCCCAAATAAAAATAATTTAAGGGAAAATTTGAAATAGGTCCAATTTTATAGACTACCTTTTGAAATAAGTTCAATTTTTAGTTACTTTGGACCCATTTCAAAATACCCCAGGAAAAATTTGAAATAGGTCCAATTTTATAGATATGCCCATTAATCTTGTTGTCAACTTTAAATCTCTTTGCTTTTAAATTCATCTAGCCCTTTTCCTTTGTCAACCAAATTCATTTATCCGATTTTGGTCAAGTGATTAATTTTCATACATAATTTCTGCAAATTTGAGCTTAACTAAGTTGGCTAAAGTGGTATACTTTACCTGTTACATTTGAGTTCCAATACCTCCTCATCTCTACTAATTAATGAAATCCTTTGTCAACAAAAAAATGATGAAAAGACAAATTAGTCTTCTATCACACAAAAAAATGATGGGCAATAATGTAATTTCACAGGTTTAAATTTTACTGTTTTTTTTATTGAAACTTCACCTGTAGGTGATGTTAAAATACATCCAATATTAAAAAATCAAAATCAAAAAATAAAAAATAAAAATAAAAAACAAAAACCTCCCACTCTCCCCCTCCACGTTCTCTCTCTCTCTCCCCCTCTCCTTCTCATTTTCTAAAACTATGTGTTCATACATACAAAGTGTGTTGACAAATGTTAGTATGTAGATGATTCTAATATATATGTAATTGTGACTCAAATTCGAATCTCTTCTTTATATTTAAATAAATTTAATGTAAAATATCATTTGTATATGAACATAGACTTAAATACGTAGGGTGTCATTTGTATCCAAATAGAGCCTTAAATATACTCAGTAATACTGAAAAGCTGCTAATATCCTTGGTTAGTAAAGGACCAAGATTATTTATAGCTGATGGATGGATATGTGTCTATGTTGCACATGTTATTTTGGCAACTGCTAATGAAGAAAACGCAGCCGACGAGGAAACCGCAACCGGCGGCCGCTCTTAAAACTGTCAAGATAAAGCTACATGGTCCTCAAGATAAAGCTACATGGTCCTGCTACTAGCCTACTACTTCAGAAGTGAAAATTGCTGTGCTTCTGGGTCATCAACCACATCGCCAATGGTGAGCTTCACCTTATCAGAAAAGAGATGTTCTAGGTTGTATGGCCCTACATCAGAAGGGGGTCCATTCCAGAGAGTCTTTGCAAGCTGCTCGTGGATCCTCTCAGTGGGATGAAAAGAATCCCACCATACATATTCGTCAGCATTATCGCATAACTGGTAATCCTTAACTTCCTTTGTGCCTCCACAGCTAAATATACCCCCATATGGTCCAGTTCCACAACAAGCATTCACTCCATCCTTGAAACCTACACAGTAAATTTAAGATCAAGTTACTACCAGTCTACCAATCACTTTATGTGCACCCTCTGTAAATATATGAAAGAAAGCATGCATACCATATTTGGAGGGATCCTCTATTCTTTCAAGAAGCCAATCATAAAAATTGGAGTTGCAGTACTTGAAATCCTTGAGCATATATCGAAGACTGTTGAGTACAGATTTTAGGGCATTGTTATGTGCTAGCGCAAGGGCAGAAGCTGCTTCAAAACATCCCCCTCCATCGGATTCTGGGTTCATACTTTTCACAGCTCTAAAGGCAGGCAAGCAACCAAGTGGACACAACCTAAGGAAGGCAAACTTTCGCCCGCCTTTCTCATATAACGCCTGCATAAGATTGCAGCAACCCAAACATCAATATGCCACGTTTTGGGATAGATTGTCGGTTGTCACTGATTGTACATAACCATGCATGATCTTTATCCCACTCTCTTCACGTGGTCTCGTATGTGACAAATCACGTGATGAGAGAGATAAATGCGCAGTTGTTATATACAGCTGGTGATAAAGCTTTAATAAGACTTACTTGAATTGTCTGTGTCAAGTTTCCAATGACCATTCCCACAAATTGTTCAGGGTTATATTGTTCCTGCATTTTTGGACTACCTAAATAACCACCCATGTAATCGTTGCTTCCCATGCTAATGAAATAAACTGCTTCTGATATCACTTCCTTTGCTTCCACTTCTCCTAATTTGTCAGTCAATGATTTTTGCACCTCTTCAAAGTTTTTCAATTGTGTTTGTAGATCAATCGCCTAGAAATTACATATTGATCAAGAAAAAGGGTCATAGACAAACCACAAATGTACATGAATCAACAAAAACATAATTGCTGGTTACAAACTTCTAATAAAAAATAAAGACTGGAGGGCACTAGTATTACACACAGTAAAGAGGCACTAAATCGTGGTTCTATATGCTGCTTGTTGGCCATCGATTGTATATTTCCGATCAAAAGTTTGTAACTAGCTCTATTTGTGCTTATTTTTTTCGGAATCTAATTCAATTTCCTACAAAATAAATAGGAGGATAATAATTCATAGCAATAAAAGAGTGAAGATTTTCCCACCAATCCTTGATTGGTTTCAGAAAGGACTCCAGCTCCACCAGATGCAAAGTTAACACCATTCGTATAATCAGCAGTTGATGGTCGTAAAAATGGAGGGATTAGTGGCAGCTTTGCATATTCAGCTGCATCATGAGCATTCAGCTAGTTAAGGTAATTACCATTTAAAAAATTTACGAAAAGCATACATCAGGAGTACTCACTTACCTATATAATCTACGATGATTCGACCGTCGGAGAAGCGTCCGGTGGGAGTTTCAAAGAAGCCATTCTTCCCATATGGCTCGTAATGTGCTTGGTTCTCAGGAATTGTGGTGATGTGATTATTGTTGCCAGGATCAACTGTGGAGTCGCCAAAGATGAACAAGGCAGCAGTCCTGCTGCTTAGTGTTTGATCACTATCACATGATCCAAACCCAATTGAGAAAAGTAGCGTACTTAAACAGATGATGATCTTTTGATGGTTCAAGAGACAAATCTGCAGGCTTGCCATTTGAGATGAAATTACTCCCTTCTGTCCTCTAGGCGCTTGTGTATATATATATACACAAGTGGATGCCAAAACGTCATTAATTTTTAATAAATACAAATTACGTTGTAATTATCATCCTGAAGGAAAAGTCCATTAGTATAAAGCCAAATTAACATTGGGAATTTCACTAACCAATCTTATTCTGGAGTAGATATCATATAGGTCCTATTTCTTGTATTATAATTCAATTAAACCTTAATCTTTGCCAGGCGAAGGACTAGGATGAATTGCTAAGTCACATCCTCGAGAGTATTTTATTTGCAAGATAATATTAAAGCGATCGTTTTTATTTTTATTTTTTATAATTATATTAGCTGATAATATAATGTGATCGTTGATGTGTTAGTAATTATTAACAATTGCGACAAGTCGTAAATACATAAAATATTAGTCTATTGGTCATAGCCACAAGTCTGATGGTCAAGGGCTCAAAGGAGATTAGTGAGATGCAAACGATGTCGTTTGCTGGTCAAATTCCAAACTTAATTCTCATAAATTTAGAAAAAATTGTTAAAAAGAGAATTGAATATTCACGGACGGTGCGTTTCAAGTCTAAGGGTTCATCCGTAATTATACCGCGCAACGAAATCCTCCCTGCAATCTTGTTCCACAGCGACCTCGTTTTCGCGAGTTCGCCACCGCTCTGCAAACCCTAATTACTACAATTTGAAAATTCTCTTCCTCCGCCCTAATTCCAATTCGATATCCCAATGGCACCGACGACTTCGTCGAAGAAAAATTACAAGGAGAAAGTTACTCGCCGCAAGTGAGTTAAACATTTCAAATTTTTACTACTTTTTCACTTTCCGACGCACGTTAGGCTTCCAAATTTCCAAGTCAATATTTTTAGTCTTAATTTTGATTCAAAGTTTCAATTTTTATTCGATTTTTATTTTGTTTTAGTTTTTGTGCTTTGTTAAAATCTGGGAAAAAATTCAGCTTGATTTGCATTGTCACGTAATTATTGGGAAACGAATTTGGAATGCAGAGTATGTGTTTGATGTAATGCTTGTGTGGTGCTGCATGCAGGGAGGAGAAAGCGGCGGAGCAACCGGATTTGCCGAAATACAGAGATAGAGCTAAGGAGCGAAGAGAAGATCAAAATCCCGATTATGAGCCGACTGAATTGGGTTCTTTCCATGCGGTTGCGCCTCCCGGGAACATTGATCTCCGGTTATTATCTAATTTTTCTTGTTCAATTTGTCAATGGTATGCCATTTTAGTAGCTAATTATATTTAAATTGGTATTTGCAGGGCAGCTGAGGTGCAGAAGTTATCCATTGAGAAGAGCAAGTATCTTGGAGGTTCGTGTTACGCATTATTTTAGAAATTTGTTCCTACTTATTTGCAGGGTCTCAGTTTTCAGTGTAGTATTCATTTTTTACCATGTTTATGAAGTAAAGTGGGATAGAAACGACGTTGCATTTGTTGCTATCTATGAGAATTCACGAAGTCACCTAATCAATAGTTTTAGGGCTAACCATTTTGTTTACATGTGGAAGGGTATTGACTTATTTTATGTTGAACTCGATTAATATTGTTCAGGTGATGTGGAGCACACACATTTGGTCAAAGGATTGGATTACGCTTTACTTAACAAAGTAAGAAGTGAGATTGACAAAAAGCCAGATGATGGAGATGATGTTGATGCAAAATCTAGGTAATTCCGCAATTGTATATGCATTACTTGTCCTACTGTCAAGTTTTGTGTAATCTTAAAAACTTCAGTATTAAATTTCGCAAACATGATGTATTGGGTATTAAGTTCTGTTGATATTGACCATTTCAAGTGTTAATATGAAGAATGATGGCCATATCTCAAGAAACTTCTTTAGCTGTTTCATATTGTGTGCTAACACGTGTGTGCTTCCTATTCGCTGACAGAGCATCTAAGGAAGACCAAAAGTTGTCATTTCGCACCGCTACTGCAAAGGTATGTTACTTTTTGTGATATGATGGGGCAGTTATATTCTTAAGTCATTATCTGTTTACATTGATGTCTCATTTCTGTGTTTCAGTCAGTTTACCAATGGATAGTCAAGCCCCACGCCGTTATCAAAACCAATGAGATGTTCCTTCCTGGTAGAATGTCATTTATTTTTAACATGGTAAGAGCCTTTGTTTCTCTTTTGATATTAAGTCTGGTTAATCTAGATCGGAGCAACCTTTCTTGGGAACAATTTGTGCTCATGTTTTAACATGCCTGAACCCTTATAGACTTTGGGTGGCCTGTTCAGGATAATTCTGTGTTTAGTTGCCACCTAAATCATGTGTGGAAGTCAAACTTTGAGTAGAAGTGTGTGTAGACACTTCTTTGAGAGCATCGAGCTTGCTATTGTAGGATACTGAATGAATGTGAACTCCCATTTTCCTCGCATTAACATCATGTTCTGTATTTTGCATCTCAGGAGGGTGGATACAGTCATGACATCCCAACCACCTTGCATAGGAGTAAAGCAGACTGTCCACAGACAGAGGTTAAAAGATTCTCAATCTTTCATGAGGTTTTCCCGTCATTGTTGGACTGTTTATCTGATTTTGGCTTCAACTTTGTGTAGGAAGCGGTAACTGTCAATGTTGATGGTTCTGTACTTGACCGAATTGCTAAAATCATGTCATATCTTCGTCTTGGATCTTCTGGGAAGGTTCTCAAGAAGAAAAAGAAGGAAAAAGATGCAAGAGGTAATTTCCTATGCTGCTTTTTGGTAAAAAATTACTGAGTAATCAGTTTTAAACAACATAAGACCTTGATACAATTGTTTATAATGAACTGCCATAATATCCTTATAAGTCGAAGCAATAAGATACATAAGGCATGTATTTCAAATCATTGTCCATGATAATAATTGTATGGGCATTATGCCTAGACGGTTATATGGTTCTGTGCTTGGAGCTAAGTATCCCAAACTCGTGGTGAAACAGGGCAGCTAACAACCATTCCAGATAGTCATCTTATTCAACTCAGATTTTCAGACGGAAACAAAACCAATCTAAACTAAGTTATGTCGGATGTTGGCATTTTAAAATATGCTGTGATGAGTGAAGTGATCAGATTCCATTATTTAATTTTGAGATTCCACACCAACTATTTTCATCCTTCATCCTTTATGCGCTTTTTGTTTGTTTATTAGTGTAATTATTTGATCAGCATTTTTTCTTGGCCTCATTTATTTTTGGTACAGGAAAGATTTCAATTGGTAATGAGTATGATGGAGAGGATAAGCCCTTGAAGCCTGATGTTGGGATTTCGAAGAATGAAACTAAAAGAGAGATTTTGCCACCACCACCTCCACCCCCTCCCAGGAAAAATCACATAGATTCAAAAGCACCACAAGGCCCAACTATTGCCAGAGTAGATGAGGATGACATTTTTGTTGGGGATGGCGTTGACTATGTTGTTCCTGGTAAAGACTTGAGTCTAAGCCCTCTTTCCGAAGACATGGAAGAGTCTCCTCGGAACAAGGAAAGAGTTTCTTATTTTGATGAACCTGCTTATGGTCCCGTCCAACCCGTCCAACCCGTCCAACCCTATGGGGTGCCTCAAGAATGGCAAGATATGGTATGTCTATCCTTTCCTTTTCATTCTGGAAATTGTAGTACAACTGTATATCTGAACAGAAACTTGACTTTCATTTCACTATGGATGAGTTATTTTCTGTTACATTTTGGGTTCAGAACGGATACGATGCGGCACAAACACAGCCAATGGCTGATGCCTACCAGGGAGAGTGGCCAGAATACCAATATGCAGAGCAAATGTCTTATCCTGAACAATACCTCCAGCCAAATATGGAAGGTTACGATGCGCAAACAGGCTTAAACATGCAGGATCCACGCTTTATGACTCAAGAGCAGAAGGATCGGGGTTTAGGATCCGTGTTTAAGCGGGATGACCAAAGACTTCAACAATTAAGGGAGAAAGATGCCCGAGAAAAGGATCCCAACTTCATCTCGGAGAGTTATTCTGAATGTTACCCTGGCTACCAAGAATATAATCGTGAGGTTGTTGACAGCGACGATGAAGATGACTTGTCAAAAATGGATATGGGTGGACGAGTAAGTTTCTGATAAAACATGAAGAAAATATATTCGATTCTTTCTCAAATTTGTTGCAATCGTTGCTTATGTTGTTATCAATATATTTCTCTGACAGGCTAAGGGTCGTCTTCATCGGTGGGACTTCGAGACAGAAGAAGAATGGGCAACATACAATGAGCAAAAGGAAGCTATGCCCAAGGCAGCTTTCCAGTTTGGTGTGAAGATGCAAGATGGTCGTAAGACACGAAAGCAAAACAAGGACCAGAAGATCACTAATGACCTCCACAAGATCAACAAGATACTTGCTAGAAAGAAGATGGAGAAGGATATGGATGGTGGTGAGGGTGGCGGCCATTATGACGATGATGAACAGCCTGGCAAGAAGATTCGAGTTTGAAGCTAGTTTACTTATTAGGGAACTCAGAGGTTGGCTTTATGTAAAGTGTCCTGGCTTGTTTCTTTCTTGATGACAAGCTTGTTGGCTGACAGGGGCCCAAACCATGGCCCTGATATCATGTTGAAGATTTTTAAATCGACAAGCCCGGGGGACCCTTCTAACTACACTGATAATGTGCCCAACTTTACTCCCTGCACAATCCGTGAGGTGTGGAGTTTTACCACAAAAAGCTTCGGTATTAGTTAGAGTGAAGTAATCATATTTAAATCCCATTATTTTCTTTTCACCTGCCGATGTAGGATTCCAATTAGCCCGGAGCCCATCTTTTGAATATGGAAGCAGCAAGTATATCGAAAACTGCCTTAACACCCGTTGCATAAAGTCATTTTTGATGTAGTGGTCGATTACGTACTTTCTGTAAGTCATGATAACATGGACACTTGTCTATCTATTTCTCATATTGTAGAACCAAAAACTCTTGTCACAGGCTAGGGGTTGAGTTTAAAGGTCAATACATTTCTATCATATTTTTGTTGCAATCATTTCTTCCCGTTATTGTCAATATATTTCCCGACAGGCTAGGGGTATTCACCGGTGGGACTTCGATGGTGGTGAGGGCGGCGGCCATTATGACTACGATGAAGAGCCCGGCAAGAAGATTTGAGTTTGAAGCTAGTTTGGTTATTAGGTCAACAAACTGTAATATTTAGTGGGAAAATTTTGATGTATCTTCCAACTGCGCGTTGGATGGAGGGAAGTGAATGAAAATTATCCGTTTTGTTGTTTGGGTGTTTAACAGAAACGAATTGAACGATCACAAATAAATATAATTATTTTTAGCACTTTGTTCATGGTTTAGCTCTCTTTCTTTCCCCTTCCTGAACCAAAAGAAATCGGACACTCATAAGTCCGACTCATCAAATTACTGGAGAAGCCAACAAACTAAAACACTCTGTTTAGATGAAGAAATTTAAAATTACTAAGAAATTTTCTTATTTGGCAACTTAAAAGACAATAAAATTTGAATATGGAAATTGTTAATTTTAATATCTCACTCATAAAAATTTGAAAATGACACCTATTTACATGAAATTTAAACTTGCGAATTGAAGTTCCCAAATTCTAAATTTTTTTTCCATATGGAATTTCTAAATTTCTATGTTTATAAATTCAAACAATGAAACCATGCATGCTAATATATGAATTCTGATTTTTGTCTAAATTCTAAATTTATTTTTCTCATCCAAACATACAAAGATGTTTATTTAAAAAGAAACAACTTCTTCTCGTGCTCGAATCAAGCGCCTGTATCGATTAAAAGGGAAAAAAAAAATGATATAAGCAAGCCAAATTCGCATTCATCTACTTTACAAAACCTCACTTTTTCCTCGATGGCCAAATAAAAACTTGGCAACGTCGTTATACAAACTTCTAGTTAAATTGTTTGGTCCAGTTAATACTACAATATCTCTAAATTTCAAGAAAGACTTTTATAATATGAATATACTACCATCGTGACATCTTGTGCAATTAAAAACGAAAAATACCAAAACTAGATGAGATTGGACTGGATCAATCCTTGGAGATCTATGTCTATATAAATGCTCATTCATTTGCTATCAGAAGAAATATATCTCTTATTTTTATGTTGGAAACAAGCAATGAACTCAACACCGAAAAGAAAGAAGAGTAAACAAACAGGAATAAAAACCATCCCCATCAACAATGCAATTTAACAGGTCGTAAAAAGAAAACATAAACTAGCATGCAGAAAAACAAGCCAAGAAGAGAGTTGCCCCAATGGCATCTCATTTTTCAAGCGGATTGAGCACATGACCAGTGAACAAGACTGTTTCAGTCATTTCCTCTTTGATGAAAAGCTTGAAAGGGTGATCTGCCACAAAGTCTATATTTTTGGGACGAAGTGGACGACGACTTTTACAACCGAAACCCCGAACTAAAGCAGTAGAAACAGCCGCAGCTTCTGTGCCTTTTTCATTAACTTCAATGAAAGATTTATGATATATTTTGCATTCATCAGGAGATGCTTCCACCATCTCCGTTAAGTCACTGCCATTGAAAGGCAGCAGCAGTCCTAAATCCCTGAGAATTTTGGATGCTTCAAATGTGGAGGTAAATTTAAACATTGGAATTTTGATCTCACCAACTTTGACTGGTGTCTGGGGGACGGTGGCTATCTAAGAAACCAGGTTCGGAACACACTCTCTCCACCAAAGCAGGGAGCCCATCTCTTGAATCCGGAAGCAACAAGTACATTGAAAACTGACGCTTCATGTCTTTGCCTTGTTCGTAAAATAGTTTCAAGACTTTGAAACCGTCAAACTCTTCTACAAATTGGTTCTTGGAGCTTGTCATGAACGGAGCCTTAACAGAAGTACCGTTAAGAAGCTGGAAGTCGTCCTCTTTTGTTTCCCGTGCATTGAACTTGTCGCTCCAAAGGCCTTTGAAGTATAAGGCATTTGAAAATATAAGCATGGTGTACTTGTTAACTGACATAGGAGGAAGAGCCTCAGTAATATGGCCTTTCGTTTCCTTTTCGGCCCATAAATTCACTTCATGTCTCCCTTCTTCAGGGTTCTTAAAACTAATATGTCTTATAGCCGCCTTATAAACAGTGTCCACAACCTCTTTGAAAGAAGGTTTGATGGGGAGAGAATCCTTGACCCAAAGGCTATTGGCAAAGCATAGGCGGGGTCCGCCTCTATTGGATCCGTCTGCGAAGATTAGAGGGACAAGATGGGAGGCGAGAGAGTGGAGTTGCTCGGTGGAGTCGGACCTGAGGAAAGAGAGCAACTGGTCCTGTGTGGGACCTTTTGAACCGGCTGTTAACAGCCACAGTGCGACCTGGATGGATAGCGGCGAGTACACGATGTTCCTCTCTTTTCCTTCAGTCATAAGAAGATGACTAGTGATTTTGAGTGTGACGTCGGTGAGGTTGCTGGCTTCTTTGGGATCCATGGTGAAACTGTCTATGTTTGTGAAACTATCTAGGTTTTGATCAGAAGTAATATGTGAAATCTTCGGTTTTTAATTTCCTTGATTGATCGCTATCGGGCAAGGGAAACGAATCGTTTGCCTCGGCTGCAGCATGAGCAGCGGCACCAGTGGAAGCAACTTCCGGAGCACCGCCATCCAATTGTACGGAGGAGGTCAACGTGCCGTCAGACGCAAGGGAGGAAGCCGTTGGGTTTTGTTTGGGATCCATTCTTTGAGAGTATAACGTTGTTAGTGTGAAAAGAGGGATGTGAAACTGTTGGATCGATCGGTATGTGGAAGAAGGGTTTCCTGTAATTAATATTCAAACCCTAGAACACTGACGGCGGTGTTGTAAAGTTACCCTAAATTAGGCTTCTTATATGGGCACAAAACGACGGACCTTGGGTTGCGGAAGCCCATCTCTTACTTGCCGCACAAGAATATTTGCTGTAAATTTCCTTAAACGATTACTTTTATTTGTCATCGCCTCCTGAAAATTTTCCATGTGTATACCAATTATGGTTAACAATTTTTCATTTTGCATTAGAATTTGATGGTATTCATTTTTATTTATAAGTAAGAGATTTTAAATTTAACCTACATGGGCAACTCATTTTGTTATAAAATATCATATGATATTAAGAAAAATCATGAGTTAACCAAACACAATCAGATACTATTTTGACTGACATAAAATACTTTTAGCCATTTCATAACACCTCATTGCCGACATCTAAATTCTTTGTTATCATGCTTGATGGTGCTAATTTCTTTGTTATCATGGCCGAGTGAGGTGGCGTGTAAAAAGTATTTTTTTATGAAAATCAAACTAAAAAACTCTTAATTACAAATAAAAAAAAATACTATTAAACCGTTATATTATATGACAATTAAAATTTAATTGCAATGTCCCACCACCCCTGTCTGGGGCACTGGCTGAAAGAATTTCATAGGTGGATTTGGATCCTCTCTTGAGCTTAGGGGGCTGAGCCTCCTGAGTAAAGAACACGGATCGTTAAATTTTGATTTAACGGCTACAAACAGAGGGTCTCTCTAAAAATTATAATAATTGTAGTCGTTAGATCAAAATTCAACGACCCATGTTCTTTACTCAGAAGGCTTAGTTCCCTGAGCTCAGGAGAGGATCCTTCGTTCGTAATATTTTGCCATAAAGCAAACGACATGTCCTTTCCTTTTTAAGATTAAAATTAAAATATAAAAACGTGCACACGGCGGAATGTTGTTATTGTGATCAAACAAGGACGCCAAAGTCTTTCCGTACATCTCAAGAACTCCGCTGTCGTTTTTACTATTTTCGTCTTCTCTTCTTCGTTGATCGCAAAACCCTAAAATATTAAATCCCCAATCGAACCAGCTTTCTTTCTCAGTTTTGTTCAATTAACTGCTCGAATTGATCAACAGGTACGTCTACTGTCGGTTTATCTGTTTTTTCTAATTAATTTAATTCAATTCAATTACCCTAGAACAAACCAGAAGCAAAATTCCCAATTGCCGAATTCGAATTCGTGTTATTTTTGCAGAAAAAGATAATTAATTTACGATTTTTATTTATTTTTCAGCTGCATATTTGTTTCGTGTTCGTTTCCCTTAATTAATTCCGAATTTTTACCTTGCTTTGCTTGGTGTAGACTTCAAAGTGTATTCTTTTTTCTGGGATTTATTTGTGTCTGATCTTTGTGACATATTCTGGTTTCGATTCGAACCGAAAGCTTGAAACTCGTGTAGGGATTTGAGGAATTGTATGGAGAGATTTGAGGGGACAGTTCCGCGTTCGTCCCTTCCGAAGATAGACAAACACCAACCCCAATTCCATTATGATGACGAGTATGATGGGTCTGATTGGCCCGAGCCAGAACACTGCGGGAAAGTTAGTTACCCAGCAGTAGCATCCAAGCACGAGCAGCACGACTATTCGTACCAGTTTCCACTGGAATCCGAAGATTTTGTTGATGGCAGTGGGTATGATTCGAGCGAAGAGCCTTGTGATTTACCTCAGAATAATATGCAACCTGAGGTTAATTTGAAGAATGTGCTGACTGGGGTATTTGCCATTCTGACTGGCCGGAACAAAGCGCCTGGTCTTCCATCAGACAAGCAGCTACCCAATTCGAATGTTTCGTTTTTGGGCTCAGAAAAGAATGGTGATACCTACGTGCACTCGTCGGTTTACATACCCAGTGCCCCGCCCCTTCTTGAGCCAACAGCCTTTAATTACAATGCGTACAAAGATGTTTTGGAAGCTGAGCCCCCTGAGTGGCTTCCTGATAGTTCGACTACAGTTTGCATGCAGTGCACTTTGACTTTCACTGCACTTACTCGTGGGAGGCATCATTGTCGGTTCTGTGGAGGCATTTTCTGCAGAACATGTAGTAAAGGAAGGTGCTTGTTGCCTGTCAAATTTAGGGAGAGGAGTCCTCAGAGGGTCTGTGATGCCTGCTATGATAGGCTAGATCCTTTACAGAGTGTTCTAATTAACAGCATTAGCAATGCTGCGCAAGCGGCAAAGCACGATGTCATGGAT